ATTATTTAAAAATTGAATCTTAATTAATAAAAATTTTAATATATATATGTAAAACTAGTAATAAATTAACTATAAAATGAAAAAATAAATAAAAAAATACTTCGAACCTGGTCCTGTGAGCTAAGTTGCTTTGACAACTTTTGTAAAATTCATATCCCCTCTCCAAGAGTAACGGTTCGAGTCGGTCCCATGACAAAAATATTAAAAAAAAAAAAAACACTTCTTCTCCTCCGGCTCTCGCTTTTCTTTTTTGTTTTTGAAAAGATAAGAAGACACCACTGTTCAAGAATATTTAAACCCATCTACTTCATCATCGAGCCATCAACATATAACTAGTAAAATGTTGGTTTACCAACCATATTTGAAGCTTGCGTTTAATTCTTGTTTCAAGAGGAAAAAATTGCAGAGATAGAATAAGGAAAGACAGAGGAGATGGGGAAGAAATACTTGAAACTTCTTCCTCATTCGTGGGACTCTTAACCCCTACAAATTTGAACCACATCAATTTTGTGCTAATCTAACACTTCATTCCTCAAAAGAAATCAATAAAATATAACAATTTATATCAATAATTTCTTCAATCACCAAGTATAAGGATTATAATCTAATAAAAATCTTCTTCTTTTTTTTTTTTTTTTTTAAGTTTAGTATATATCAAGTTAGTTACTGTGCAACACAAAAATTTCAATTTTTAACATTACCCAATAAAAATTTTTAGCTACAGTATCAATATCCAAACCTTTTAAAAAAAAAAGAAAAGCAAGCACCTGATGGGTCCGAAGTAAAGAGACCTAATTTCAACACAGCCAGCTGTTGCTACTATATTAGTCTTTACAATCAAATTATTTACTCTTTCAAATCTGCATTTATGAAAGAGTGCCTTTCACACTTATTCTCAAGTGGATGGGAGTAGCCAGACCCAGACATACCTCTGGGACATTTTGTAAACCTAAGTGGGTCTGTGGATGGCAATTTGGAAAATATTACTATTTACTTTGAAAGTTGAGGACGAACAGTCTAGATTGTGAAAATGTGAAAGTTTTTAAAAGCAAAATTAAAAGATGCTTTGATCAACAAGCATAATGCTTTGATCTTGTGAGGAATTTTGTATGTATGATGGCTGTGAAAATGTGAAAGTATTTAAAAGCAAAATCAAAAGATGCTTTGATCAACTGTTAGAGTTGTGGTGTTCAAGCTGCCAAAGTAGCAGCAAATGGAAAGACGTGAGAGCTGCAATATGATGATTACAGAGTAGCAGCAAAGTGACAGCACAATGGAGCTTCACATGCGCTACAAGAAATGGCAGTAAATCTTTGAATGTAATCTTTTGTTTTAAATGCTTAATATTTTCTTGTATTGGGTAAAATGTTAGGTGAGAAAAAAATTGTTTTTTATTGTATTGTTTCTGCTATAAATGTAGTAAAATATCAATGATATCTCTTGAGTTGGAGTGATACACTCCTCTCCATTTTATGTGCTCTGCTCTTCATCTTCTTCCTCTCGGTTCTCTCCTTTTTTTTTTTCTTTCTTTGTTTTAAAAAAACCCAACATCAACAAACAGCATCATGCTTCGATCTGTGTATGCCACAAGATCCATTTAAGAGCTGTATGCTTGGTCTCTTAATTGATTGATCACTAAAAAATGAGTATGATTGTTAGTGATATATATAAATATGAAAATTAATTATTACTAATAATTTAACTTTGAGTTTTTAATTGGACTCGAAAAGTTATTAGTGATAGCTTGACTCGAGTCATTTTACCTATTGTTCTACTTGCATTTTTTTTTTTTTTTTTGGTCATTGAAAAATTTTGTTTGAGTTGAATAGTTAGATCATAACTACGGTAGACATATGCTTCGGACACAAAAGCTTGTTAATCGTAGGGGTTCATATTCTTTGAAACATGGGAACATGAACATCGTTGTAGGGGCAGCAGCTGCTACATACATATGTATGCATGTATATCCACAATCTCGCCTTTTTTTTGGCTTTCTCTCTGAGGTGATATATTTCATTCAAAAAGTCAAACTAAATTATATTGCTGTAAGGACAGATCCGAGGTGCCAAGCCTCGGACTGCTACAGTAACTCCTCTATGACCGAGGTGAGAAATAAACCCAAAACCTCCCGCTCAAATAGATGCATGACAGTAACAATAAGCATGCCCGCACCTGATTCCTTGTGATGAATCGCAC